TGAGAAACAAACTACTGGGGCAGTAAACAAACGCCACCCAAAAAAGGAAGCTCATCAAATAGACGATCACGATCATCTTCCTGCAAAAATGGCAAAGCAAAAAGAAAAACCAAAAAAAGAGCACAATACGAAGTACCTGGATTCCACAGAAGATCTTGTACTTGAAAGTAGAAGGAACCTTGCACGACACACTCTCAAACATCTGAGGCATCTTCGTCTCTCCTTTAACTTTATCCCTGTCAGCAGTAGCCCAAAAACAATTTTCCCCAACCTGTAACACAAAATAACTCCAAAAACAACACATATGATTAACCAATTTCACGTAAAATAGATAAATCTTGCCAACATAAAAAATTCTCCCCTCCACCAAAAAGAGAACATGAAAAACCTGGCAACAGAAGCCATCACCCAAAACATTTAAAAACACAAGCCCCAGAAACCCGCAGGCCCAGCAACCAAGCCAAGGAAATCCCAGAAATCACAGAACAGCCCCCGCAGCACCCAGAAACCCCAACCCAGCCCAGCCTAACCACCAAACAGATCAAACCCCAAAAAACAACATCAATTAAACCCCTAATACTTCTTAATATAAGGCAAGCCAGACCGATCCAATCTAACCAAACCATTGACAATTCTAGGAATATCGTTACTGCTAAAAACCACAAACTCCCGAAATTGGCAACCAAGAGTAGCCAAAGCATCAACACATCCGTTACCCTCACGGTGGATATGAGAAATCTGAAAAGTAATGGTAGCCAAGTCCTGCTTAAGATCCCTAATCAAATAATAATTCTCTGCATTAAACAAAAAATTACTATTGATATAATGCAAAATATTCATGGCATCAACAACAATCCAGACTCTATCATATCCCAAATTAATACACATTTTGATACCATAAATAACCCCATGAAGCTCAGCAACAGACGCAGAGTTACCGGAAACAGGCCCAGCAAACGCCTTGATCACCTGCCCCAAATGATTTCTTAAAATGCCCCCACACCCAGCCACCTTACCATTATACGAACCATCAGTATTAAGCTTAATCCAGTTAACATCAGGCTTAAGCCATCTAATAATGCAGACTCTATTCTCCTGCACATCCGTTTTACTCAAAATATTAAAAGCATGAAGCACATGCCGACAGCCTTTGAAATTGCTATATTTGAGCAAACCAGACTCAAAGAGCAGCTGAATTTTATCACAAACAGAACGAATAATACGAGAGGCGTTCATCTTAATACCATCATGCTTTGCTTCATTTCTATTCTTCCAAAGAAACCAAATGATAATACTAACCAAACAGTTCCTAACATGGCCTTTATTAGTAGAGAACCAGCATTTAAAAATATCAATAATGGAATGAAAACTGTGATAAAATTTAAAATGAGACAGCTCTTCAAAATACAACCAAACAGAAACAGCAATAGGCCCATTAGCAAACACATGATTCACTGTTTCAATATGCTGACAACAATTATATTTAGAAGCTAATTGAATACCTTTTTTCATCAGATTCATATCGACAGGAATAAAATTAGAAATCACACGCCACACCAGGATAGCATAGGTGGTAGGGATCGAATTATGCCATATAACAGAAAAAAACGGGTTGTGAGTCTTATTCTTCTTGATGCAATACCAGGCTTCCTTAGCCTCAAATAAACCATTATGCGAGTTAGTAAAGAGAATGGAATCCTGATTCTCGCATTGAAGAGGGATTTTAATAATCAAATTAATAATAAAATCAGGAACTTGCTCTTTAAGAAGGTTAATATTCCACACCCCATCCTGAATAAAATGATGCACATGCAGAGTAGAAATGGATCTAGTATTAAGCAACATGTCAATAGAGAACTTACCCAATCATTGATCTTGCCAAAAAAAGACCTCTCCTTTACCAACTCCCCACTGAATTAAACTTTCCATGTTTCCTTGAAATTTACATAATCTCTTCCATATAGGGGAGTCACCCCTTTTAGGAAAACAAGTAGAAGGATGCATACCCCTACAATACTTACTGTGTAAGAACTTAGCCCATAAGCTCTTATTAGTTCTGAAATTAAACCAAAGCTTATACGAAAACACTTTACTCATATCGATCATGGTCTTACAGCCCAAACCCCCTTCCAGAAGAGAGCCACAACATTTGTTCCAAGATCCCCAATGAATAACACCTTTACCTTGCTTGGCACCCCAAAAAA